ACTTGGCCCAGCTCGCTAGAAGAATCAGTTCCTCCTGCATCTTCTCCCACATGTACTTACCCCTCCCCCAAAAATTTTTCTAGCTGCCAATTTTTGCCACTGTCATCCATCGTTTTAATTCCTTCCACAGTGCCTCTGGATCTGATGTAACATCACTCCAGAGTGACATAGCATGGGACCCCTGAAACATTGTGGAGAAATAAAAATGATAAGTACTTTATACAGGCACCCAGACTCTAATGTTAGATGAGGTAGTAAGGAGAGTATTTTCTGTCCATGGTAGTTGTACCCACCATTTGTGATTTGTGATAGGGTGGTATTGGTGGAGTTTCTATGCTGTGTATCATTTGTATTATAGCACTTTAGTCAGCATCCAAATATTGTTAATAATACAATTAGAACCACCTAATATTACTGGAAGCAGCATGAAAGCCAGTGTGGTGTGGTGTGGTGGTAAGAATGTTGAACTGTGGACCTGAGAGATCTGGGTTGTAGTCCCCACTCACAGCTTTAAAGTTCACTAGGTGACTTCGGACCAGTCACTCATTCTCAGCCTAACCACCCTCACAGGATTGTTATTGTGAGAATAAAATGGAACTATATAAGCCACCTTGGGTTCCTCACAAGGGGGAAAAATGGGACATGTGCAGTGTAACAGAAGAACAACAATGTGGCCATTTTCCTGTTCCCCTCAGTAGTATTTGTAGGAAGTGACTGTAGATGGTCAGTTTGTTTGTTTGTTTGTTTGTTTGTTTTTTGATTTATATCCTGCCTTTTTCCTACAAAGGACTCAAGGCAGTTTACATCTCCTCCATCTTATCCTCACAACAATCCTGTGAGGTAGATTGGGCTGAGAGTCTGTGACTGGCCCAAAGTCACCCAGTTGGCCTCATGGCTGAACGGGGACTAGAACCCGGATCGTCTGAGTCCCAGTCCCATGCTCTTAACCACTACACCACACTAGAGCATATTGATGTTCCAATCAATATGCCGGCAAGACCATAATGAAGATCTTTTGGTGCTACACTTCTCGTTTCCAGAGTGGAACAGATAAGCAGTGCTCAGAAAAGCTCTACTGATCTGGAAATGAGCATTTGTGCTCATTTCTGGGGTTCTTTTAGGCAGCATTATTTCCTTATTGTGCTAGCAGGGGCTCCTGCTGGTGCCACAGGATGAATGGAAACACAACAGCTGTATCAGATTCTTCCCCATGGGCCTTTCCCATACCAGTAATGGTGGCACAGATTGTAATATTGATTTTAGCTTGTCCTAACAATTGCTTCAATAAAAAATGACATGAGAGCAGCCACATAATTTTGTCCATTATATGTTTCATTGATAAATGTTGATTTCAGTTAATCAAAACTACATAATCTGCATAACATTTCATTTTGCATTATTCCCTGTCTACTTTCAGACATTTAATTTTTGGATCTTGTCTTATTTTGTAGCTAAAACTGCCAATAGCACGCCTTCTTGAAAAGCCAATAAAGATTGGAAAAAAAAACAAAACTTTGCTTTTGCTTTATTTGTCTTAAGAAATCAAAGTCTTTTTCTCAGAAAAACTGCTGAAAGATCTGGAAAAAATGTGACCTTTTTTACCAGCTATTTTTAATGGAGCTTCTCTCTGTATTCAGTATAAAATCTCTTGTTTTTTTTACTTGTAAATCTGACAAAAATCTCAAGAGGTATTTTATTCTTTAATGCAAGTGTTGAGTTTATTTTAAACATGTGTTCTATATCTAGGGAATTTCCTTGAATTTTTGAATAATCTTGCAGAAGCTTACAGAAATTACCTTTCAGGGGGGTTTTGTGTGTGTGTGGAAAACTTTTGGAATGTCTCTAAAATGTTATAATTTCTTCTCTCAGCCTCCAAAATCACTATTCTTTGGCTCTGCCTTTCATTGTCAGTCTTGCCTTTCTATTCATACTTCAATTTTCCCTTACTTATCTTTGAGTTCTGTAATCTCTTTTGAACTTTCTTGATTCTTTTTTTAAATTCTGATATGCCTTGCTAATATTCCTGTCTTAAAGATGTAATTTCTGTTTGAGATTTCTCTTCAAATTGATTTAACTGACTTACAAATGCTTGGATTTGATTTTATTGTTTAGTGTTGTTTGAAACTTGTTCATCAAATCTGCAGAGTCTAGGTCAGCTTTTTTGTCTGAGTTTAGAAACATAGAAACAAAAGAAGTCAGAAGGGGTCTCCCAGGCCATCTAGTCTGACCCCCCGGTTCCAGCCAACTCCGCTCATGACATGCCCACCATGTGGACGTCCAGCCTATCCTTGAACACCCGTACCGATGGGGCCTTCTTCCTTTCTTTATGCTGGTGTATGGCCATTCTCTGTTTCCTCTTATTTCCTTTCCTCTGAAATCTGGTTCATTTTTTTTTTCATTTATTATTTTGGAGAACCTAAATCTTCAATGTATTCCAGAACCTAGGAAGCAATGATTTTCACACTAAATAAATAAATAAGGAATCAACATTTGAAAGAGAAGGGAGATAAAAAAGGAGGAAAGAAGGAAAGGGAGAAAGGAATAGGAAAGAAATTAATATGTTATTTACTATAAGTGTTACATTTGTCATACTCTAGATCCCATTTTTAATATTAATTCATTATTAGTATTTGGTTTATTGGCTAAGACATTTCTTTCAAAATCTCTGGTCTGCAGCATTTTCCAAATCCAGCAGATGGCACCAATCATATTTGTGAGTGTTCTGCAGTAAGGTCAGCTAGCTCAGGGTTCTCTTCTCTCCATTCAGCTTAAGCAAATCACAGAAAAGGATGGTTCGGAGTTCTTAAACATCCAAGGGATCCCAATCCAATATTTCTCCTGCTCACTCCAATTGTCCCATTGTCTCTCAGCTGCACCAGGTTGAAATCAATGTCCACAATGACAGATTGTAACCTACTTCAAGGTTCCTCCAGTGCTTGTCCTGTGTAGGAGAAAAAGAAAAAAATGGCAACTGGCAGAAAGATTTTTTTTCTTTCTCTTCTCTGTAATATACTAATCAGCTTGGTGCATTAGTTTTTAGCCTTTCAAAGACTCACGGACTAAGTCAAAAGTCTTCCTTTACCCTTTGTAAATATTCTTAAACTGTTTCAGATGGAAGTTGTTATCTACAATGATATATTTGTAATTTTTCCTAAAATTTCTCAGTTTTTTATTCAACGGAGGGAGGAGGCAGGATGGTGACTAATTAAAAGAAAGTATGTTGTTTTACTCTTCACTTTGCAGATACTAGTATTAATCAATTCAATTCACTGGTCTGTGTCTTTTCCAAGATTGGTAGACTTGATCTCAGCAGACAGCTTGATAAACACCTGTATTTATTTATTTTATTTCTGTACTATTCAACAATAGAAGCTCTCCGGATGATACACAGTTAATAAATAAAAAATACAATAAGAATAAAAACATAATAAATAGGACTACAACAATTAAAAAACACATTTTAACAACCTAACTAAAATCAGTCCATACTGCTAGATGTCCTAAGAAAAGCAATACCTTCCCTTTCATGTGCCATTTGGAGTGGCTAAATGCCTCAGCTAGGCTGAAAAATGGACCCCAAAGAAGCCACTGTGGTAATGTTTTTTGGCCTGACTTCCCAAAGTCATTGTGTATGCCACGTGGACTAAATGTGTGCAGTTTTGCACTGTTCTCATGGTTTTCCAATGGTTTAAAAACTATTGATTTGCTAAGATCTTTTGTTATTATTTATTTATTTAACATTTCTGTATCCTGACCTTTACAGTGTCTCAGGGTAGCAATAACATAAATAAATAAGACACAGCATCAGAATAATATATAAATCAACATTAAAACAATACTAACTTTTAAAATGTTGGAAAATAAAAAGGCTTTGGCCTGGCACCAAAAAGAAAAAAGCATCAGTGCCAGGCATACCTCTCTGAGGGGCCCATTACGTAACCCAGGTGCTACTGCATAGAAAGCCCTTCTTTGGGTAGCCACTCTTCTGATCTCCTTCAAAGAGGGCTCCTGAAGAAGGACCTCTGCTCCAGATTGTAGAGACTGGGTGGGTATATATGGAAGGAGGCACTCCTTCAAATATCTAGGTCCTAAGCTGTTTAGGGCTTTATATGTCATCGCTAGCACCTTAAATTGGGCCCGGACTTCAAGTGGAAGTCAGTGCAGATGGTACAGGACTGGTGTTATGTGTGTATATCTGCTGGCCCCTGCTAGCAACCTGGCTGCTCTGTTCTGAACCAATTGAAGTATCCAGACCATCTTCAAGGGTAGCCCCACGTAGAGTGCATTATAGTAGTCCAGTCATGAGGTTACCAGAGCATGGCTCACCATTGTAAGGCCCTGCTCATCCAAGTAAGGGCGTAGTTGATGGATCAGCAGAAGCTGAAGGAAATCACTCCTCACCACAGAAGTAACCTGAAACTTCAAGTTTGGATCTAGGAGCATTCCCAGACTATGCTCCCTTTCGCTTAGGGGGAGTGCAACCACATCTAGAACAGGGCAAGGATTACTTACCTGGAGAGAAAGTGATCATCTTTTGGTATGATTATGATTCCTTTCTAACATCATTTAGAAAGGAATCTCCTGTTTCAATGCATCCTGTGGCCTGATGCATTAAGGGTGAGTTACCTGTGGAAACAGGTTCTTGTGTATGCATCATCTGCAAGATTGGCAATGAAGCTTGTTGGTGTCTCTGTTAAGACTGTGTTAACATTTGACTGAGAGCTATATGCATAGTATGAAGCAGGTGCAAAACCACATCAGTTTGGGTATAGTCAGTAATAGTGGAAAACGTTACCAGGAGGCCCTCCTTCCATTCAACATAACATTAGGATTCAAATCCCAGGGCAATTTCTTCCACCCCCACAGTGTTGATTGGTGCAAAAACCTAAAGGCACATTTACTGCTGTACACACGTCAGGGTACTGTAAAACACTAGTGACGATATTTATTTTTCTAACACAGGCATAATTGAATGCAACATGTTTTGTTTTCATTAACAGATGGCGGAATGTATCACCAGTTGGACAACCAATACCAGGAACTCGATTCATTGCTTTCAAAGTACCTTTGAAAGGGGTATGTATACAATGTTATTTTGATTAGCATTTATGCTAATCAATGGGCATAAGGAAATATCTTATGCTGCCTGCACACCAGCATGCCATATTGCTACCACAACAAGAAGCCAGCATGTGTTAAAGCAACTGGAATCAAACCAAAACACTTATCTCTGAGATGGAACAGGTCACTGGACAGCAGACAGAAACTCCATTGCCTGTTCCAGAAATAAACACTTCAGCTTTTTTGTAGGATGGTTTCAAATATTATGTCAGGATTGGATCCCACTGGTGAACACAAATAGAGGTACAGTGGCAACACCACTATAGCCATCTAATATCAAACAAGTTTTAAGGGTTACTCTATAAAGCCCTGAATACCCTGGGCCCAGGATACTTTGATGTCATGCCTTCTTTCACATAGTCTTGGACTGAAGCCTTCTGGAGAGCTACTCCTAGTGTTCCCACATGGCTGGGAGTACTACCTGGAGATGTGCCTTTAGAATGGCAGCTCTTAGCATGTTGAATGCCCCTTCAACCAATCAAGTTTGCATCTACACTATTTTGGTTTTGGGTTTGGTGTTTTGTTTATTTCCTAGGCATTTCCTGGCCAGGGTCAATTCCAGACACTATTTTATTCAACTGTTTCTTTTAGTGTAACTTTTTAATTTTGTTCTTTAATTGTACACCATTCCAAAATGGTTTGTAAAATTCTATAAACAATTAGACCAACAGCATAGTAACTACAAGAAAGGGGAAAGCCCTCATTACATTTTCAAATTTCACATTCTTTTTGTGATCAAGGTTGCCATCACTGCAAGGCAGGGTAATCCAGCTATCAATAATCAAATCTGCCCCTCATTTGCTTCTGTAAATGTAACTGGGAGGTACAAATTTCTATATAAGTGGCAAAAAACAGGACCTACATCAGG